AAGTCTTAAATAACAAAACTAGACAATTATTTTAGTTATTGACGTGAAGACACATTATATTATTTTAGCTTTTCAAACAGATAGCAAATAGTATGACATAGCCCCTTAAAATTCCAACCGTGTCAGAGTTTTATACTTTTATGTATTAGCTCAAGCTTGCCTAAGCCTGCAAACACTGCTGTATCTCTTCACTCCTCCGGGGCGTAGCCAGGATTTTTCAAAGGGCGGGTCACAGAGGCTACTCACCAGATTGTCATCTGGGGATCGCCGACTATATATGGTTTATACTGCTGCTCTCCCTCGTGTATCAGCGGGCTCAGTCATATTATTGCGGCATGAAGGCCCATATTAACTTAAGACAAGAGCTGTTGATGACAATACTTTACAAAAAAATAAATTTTCAAAAAGTGTGCTTTTCAGCAATGGCTTTTACGGCCAAGATATTGTCATCGCGTTTTTGCCACCTGAATATTGTAGGTTGTTTGCTCAGAAGAAGGCCTACGAAGGGGGGGTCACGGGCACCCCAGGACCCCGCCTAGCTATGCCCCTGCTCCCGGCCGCTGGAGAGATTTGGTGGCATGGAGTGAGGAGAGATGACTGTATTTGCAGGCTAGCCTTGTGAGAAGCAAAGAAACTAAGAGACTGCTTGCAGTCTAAAAGCTTCCGATTATAAGAACCTTAGAAAGGAAATTTTATTGAAAGTGATGCTGGTACATTTAAAAGTCTGGAATTAAGTATTTATGACTAATTGAATTTTATGTTCTTTTGGCCTGCCTTGAAGCCTTGGTCATAAAATGAATCAGCTCCATAATCTGTGCCAAAGTTACAGCCAATAAATCATTTTCTACTGGTAAACCCTTTAGACCCAGGCCTTAAATTACTTGAGACATCATTGCTGAAAATCAAGGCCAGGTCATGATGCTTTTTTTAAGTGACATCTTTTGGTCTGAAGCTTTAACCTATTTTGTTAATAAGTCACGTGATATGTCACATGACCATTTTGCTAAAAATCGAAAATAATTGACAAGTTTGTGGCGGGTTTTTTTAAAAAAAAAAAAAACACAGACAGCCAGTTAAATGATGGAGTGAAGTTTAAAGCTTCAGACGCTAAGGTTCCCCAAGAGTCGTTTGTAAAAATGTGAGTGAAGGCAACCATGTGTGGTATTTGATCAAAGTAACCAGGGGCGCCCAACGAGAATATAGTTCAAAACCACTTAAACAAAGCATTGTTAAATGTATTTTAGTATTTAAACGGTAGATATAGGCATATTTTTATCCCCTAAAAATTTTTCATCAGTTCGGATTTCCTAGCTGAAAGTCTAGTGATCCGAAAATTATAGGGATCAAAACTTACCTTTTCGAAAATTTTAGCCAGAAAAAAGGCTCCCGAAAATTCTAGGTGACCTTTTTAGGGTAAAAATCCGTTAAAAATGGCAATTATACCATTATTTTTAGATGTTCGAAAATCCTAGGAGTGGCAGGCAAGCAAGGAATTTTACAAAATATGTTCCGAAAATTGTAGATCTCAAATCGTCTTCGGAACAGATATTTTCCGAAAATTGACGTTGGGTGCCCCTGTGTACATGTAACTCCATTTAGGAGATTACAAAGGAAAGTCAGCTTATAAATGGACACCCTCAGGATGCGAAAAAGGTGTCCATTAAACTGCAAAAGGGTTCATTATTAAAGCCAAATGGTGATGGTTGTTAATTATTGTTTTTTAGGGGTTGACTTTGAGATGATTCTTTGTGAAGGTTTTGTCCAGCATTCTCTTACTTTTATCATTCAACTTTTTGGATGCATGATGCGTCATGATTATTGTGAGATGTATCCGTCCTGGGTTGCTCAAAAGACTGTTAACTCCAACTCATGTTGCAACTTTCACTTATTCAGCCAAAGTCATTTGTTTACATAAGAACATACAGGATGTCAATTTGTTTATCTTTTTTTCCTTTTTTATGGAAGTGGACGGAAAAGTTGATGTTTCAATAAATTTTCTTCTTGTTTATGAGAAGAGATAACTAATCAAGGGATTTAAGGCCTGGGTCAATGGTGTGTTCGAAGCATGATTGATTGGCAATATCTGTTGCCAGGATACCTAGAACAAAATAAATTTTTCCCCAAAAGGAAAACTTGAGGTCTTTTTGTGCCTTAACGTTTAATCATGGTCACATGACATGTCAAGTGACCAAAAATTGAAACTGAAGGAAACTGGTAGCCAATTAGTATCCAATCAGTCAATTTTGTGTTGAGTATCATGACCTATCAAAGTCTCTTTCTGAGTTATGATTTTCTTTGGCTTTTCTTTATTAATTTTTAACGCTTTAAGGAAGTCAGTATTAATTCTATTTTGTTTTTCCGTTTATTCTAGTAATAAGCAAGAGGTGCTTACTTTTCGTCTCCCTCAGCATGTCTCAAACTGTATTGCGACAGCCGTATTCAGCTACTTTCTTGTACATTGGAAGTTCATGTGCCATTGTAGTTGCGCTTTATTCTGCCCATCACTTTCATATTTTGTTTGAATGTACGATCCTATTTCTGATGATGGCGATTATTGGGTTCTCCACCATCATCATTGTCAAGAGAGTAGGCGTGGCACTTAGCACCCATATTATTTTTATTGATATGCCCGACCCAGACAATTACGCTGCCGTTTTACTGCGAGCCCACCAATCCCAATCGAGCGATCACTGTTTGGCAGTGGCAGGGCGATGGATACTGCGGCGATTAGGATTTCCGCTTTCCCCACTCTACATTGTCTGTGGTGGACGCCGCGTTAACCTTGGTCTAGCGCACAAAAACACAAACGGTAGATTTTTTGACGAATCTTCGCAGTCTTACGTGAACTGGGACTTTCGTCGGCACGTCGGTACACTCCCAGCTGATGAAGCTGTGATGAACGACAGAGGCACTACTGAAGACTCGGCCTTGGTGCTCAAGAAGAACATGTATGATCTTGAATGTATCTTGCGCAGCGCAGGTTTTACAGAGTTTGTGTTGGTAACGGGGCATATTGCCAGCCAAATTCCCTTGTCGTATTCACACCATGCAGACGAGTGGCGTTTCTATGACAACTGTCACAACTGTTGGGTCACACCATATGAGTACGATCAACTATCCAACAAACGCTGCGACGAATCCGACGTCTTTCAAAATTTCGACCAACGGAGAAAACTGGCCCGCCAGTTTATCAACCAACTCACTGGTATAAATGATTTTGCATTAGACTCCGTGGGGTCACACTGGTTGACGTTAGACCAGCTTTATCCTGTACTTTGTAGATATTCAACTGTTCACATGACTGTGGGTGGCCCTGCCACTGACGTGGCTTACTTGGTGGAGAAGTCATCGACATGGACACGAAATGTGAACACAATAAGCGCTATGTGGGCTGTTTGTGACCTTGGTCAGAACACAGGGAAGATGAACCTCTGTGGAATGAACTTTAATGAAGCTGCAGATAGAAAATCTGCGAAGTATCTGTCCTCGGATTTTTTTCCAAATGCCATGTTTTCTCTTCTACCCACTGAAACGTGCAAATTAACACCGGGTTTCAAAGTATCGGAGGAGATGGCAGAGCGTATCGATATTTTGCGTCCTCTAGCGGGTAAAATAACTCTTTGGTCTCATGCCAAAGGCGGGTGTACCGAGCTGCTGTTCGACTACTTCATCTGTGAGTCTCCGGATATTATAGCAGCATTACAGAAGCTTGGTCTTATCAAAGTATTTGTCACCTTGGTTGCCAGGAAGTGCGCTGTTTTGTCACCAAGTGAGGCAGAAACCCAGTTCGCAGCTTGGGTGAACACCAATATGTTCACGGAATTTACTTGGGGACCCAACGATGATAAATTTGATGGCACGCACTGGTGCAGGGCAAAATCTACTGGTTGAGATAAGACAGGCATCTCACACCTTGCGTTTTTAAAATTGTTTGAAAAGTGGTCTGAAGTGTCATTTGTCTCTTCGCAATACCTTCCTCCCCCCAATGGGCTGCTCGGCGAGAGTAGCCTGAAGTGCCAGCCGTCTCTTCGCAATACCTCCCTCCCCCCCAATGGACTACTCGGCGAGAGTGGCCTGAAGTGTCAACAGCTGTGTCAACCATCTCTTCCCACCACCCCTCTCCCACAAGAAATAGCCGCCCCTTAGACGGCTGTGAAAAGAGTGGAAGGAGAGTTTTTGTTTTTCATTAAAGAAAAACGAGCAGGAATTTGTAAGTCTTAAAATAATAAAGAGCTCAATGGGTTTGTAATCGCAGTCTTGTGTTTCCTTAAACATTCCCAGCGCAAATACTGCTGGAATATGCGCGAGAAAGTTTGATTATTTTGTTTTTCTTTTCCGTGAAATATTTCAAGCGCGACAAGTTGACAAAGGAGAAACAAAAATGATGCTGCCCGTGTTTCTCGGCCTTCAGTAGTTAACTATTCTGGGCTTAATTTCACTTGCTTGTCCGTAATAGAAAAAAGAGGGTCTCAATGGGGAGGTAGCTTTGACTTTTGATGGTTTTAAGGGGAAAATTAGTCTAAAGGTGCGTTCCTTTGAGATGATCCGGATAAGGATCAGTGATCTGAGATCACTCAGATCATGTCAGATCAAAATGAACCGATGAATCCACTCTGGACAAGGTTTCATCGGTTCATTTGATCTACAATGATCCGAGTGATCTCTGATCAATGATCCTGATCCGGATCATCCCAAAGGAATGCACCCTAAGAGTAGAGTGTACCAGAGTGAGAGTGAGTGTACTAGAGTTCTGAATTAATTAATATTCACTGTTGTGTTTTGGAGGTTGTCTTAGCCTTTCACTTTTGAAATTTCGAGTAAGTTGTAAGGTGTGGTAATGTCTAGAAAGATTGTTCCTGTGAATATTTGAACTGACTTTTCCAGCTTTATATAGATTTTCTTCCGTTTGACGACTGACGGTTTAAACCCCATTGAGACTCACATCAACGACCGACAGCTATAGTGCCTTAAGGGTATCCGGCTGAGAGGTGAGGCAGTCACACTGGTCCCACAAGCATATACCGCATATTAAGAGTTCACTCATGATAAAGTGAGTTAGTGAGTTTTTGGCCCCTGAGAGAGCCCCGTTTAAGGAAGTCCTCAGAGTGTCCCACTAAAGAGACAGTTCACTGTGAAAGAGAGTCAAGAGAAGTGAGTATCATTCATCTTTTTTAAACTTTTTGAGAATTTTAATTAACGTCTGTTGTCTAATTATATAATTGCTAATTTTTCAGAACAGTCATCAAAAACCTCAGTAGCCATTGTCTTCAACCTCGTTCCCAGGGCTAAGAGGTTGCACCGTCTCTTCTAATAATACTTCAATTAAGTGCAACAAAAGCGGTCAAACTTCGCCCAAGAACCTTCTCAGCCTTTTTGATCCCAGTAACGGCTAAGACGCAGATAAAGAGCTCGTTAGTGGTCCTCCCGGTGGGGCGGGGGAGGTATACACCCTTAAATTTACCATGGGGGTGTGCCGCTGAGTCTTTGAAGCTCTGAACCTGTTCCAGACAAAAATTCTATAAATGGGAATCGATCGGCCATCATCAAACGACGAGCAGAGCGTAGTTTTGCACCTAAGCTTGATCGAGAGTAATGAGGGATTGGGAAGAAGAAATCGACCTTGTTCCAGAATCAAACTGAAGTAATGAAGGTCAATAGACCTTTTAAACTACAGGCCGCCATTTTGAATTTATTAGATTTAAGGAGTATTATGGGATGCCCAGGAAGCACTCGCTCAGTGTTAGCTAGTGTTAACGCGCGTTTTTCGGGCAAAAAGAGAACTTCATTGTGTATTTCTCGGGAAAAAGGCGATCATTATTACATCCAAACACGGCATAACGATCTTTTTTCCCATTACAATCTTTTTCTAGGAAAACATAAAGAAAAATTGGCCCGAAAAGCGCGCGTAAATACTGAACGAGTATATCGGATCCTGCTAATGCCCCCCCTGGGCATCCCATAATACTCCTTAAATCTAATTAATTCAATATGGCCGCCGTATCGGTAAAAGGGTCAATTCTCTGCAAAACAGACACCTTTGGGACAGCGATGTCCGTCTTATGGAGAGTCAAATAAAGGGAGTAAGCAGGAGCCCAAGGAAATGAAGGGGCCAACTCTTGGGGTCAGTTGTTTAAACGGAGTTTAGCCAGTGTTAAACAAAGACGCGTTTTAAGCCATTTTCAGTTTGCCGAACGCTCTTTTGTACTAAAGTGGACACGAAAGCGTTTGTCTTCTTAAAAGAACCCACCAAGGACGAGATCTGGAGGTTGAAAGATTTCCTCAACCGTGGCCTAAGTTGGACTTCGTTTAAATAACCGACCCTGGGCGTCCGTCCTAAAGAGGTGTCAATTTTATAGAGGTGTCCTTAAATAAGTGAGAGTCGACTGTACCCCTCTTTCAGATATAAAAGGTGATTTTTATACCACGTTCCAGAGTCAGGGCGGCAGATTAAGTATTCTGCTGAGCGGCACATACCCGCGTAGCACATATAAGGGAATACCCTCCTCCTCACCGGGGGTATTTAGGTTTCTGGGAAACTGACCACCTACCCCTCCCCTAAGCTAACATTAACACTTACTTCTCACTTAGGGCAAAATGTTGGCTTAGGGTAGGGGTAGGTGGTCAGTTTCCCGGAAACCTAAATTTATTTATAATAATTGCCCTGAGCTAGCTACTCTTCTAGAAAATTACTATATACAGAACATCCATTCAAAGTATAATAATAATAAAGGCATCAATGCTTCGACAGATACATTGCTTTTAGAAGGTGTAAATGATTTTGCCCTCTGGCCACTTTTGGGAGTATAACCGGCCGACTTAAACGATGTAACTGATCTCCAGATCCAGGAAAATAGAAACTACACAAAAAAGACTAGTTGAACTCACAAGAAATAACAGGGTTTGTATGGGTCATGGAAATTCTGGAAATCTGTCTGGCTTGTAAAAAAGGAAAAGTCATTGAAACCATGGAAAATTATATCTCGGTAACATGACATTCTTTTCTTTTTTCTCGGGGGAGTGGAGGGGCAAATAGCATCACGTTGTCGTCCCGAGTTTTGTCCCATGTCCCAGGGATGTCATGGAATTTTGCACGGACCCTTTTAAACTACAGTCAAGCCCCCTTAATACGGACATTGAGGGGGCATAGATAGTGTCCATATTAACGGGGTGTACGTATTAAGCGGGATGAATTTAGGGAAAATGCGAGGGCTTTCTTTCCCCAGGGACACAGCAAACTGTCTGTAATAATGAGGTGTCCGTATTAAGTGGGTGTCCGTAAAGCGGGGTTCGACTGTAGTTCAAATGGTAGGAAAACAAAAAATCGTGCTGCAGGTAAGAATAACCACTGCGCTACACACCTAGGAAGACAAAAACACGAAAACGAAGGGGTGCTCTCAGATTATCTTACAGGCGAGGCTCACTGCGAATGCACAGTACATTAAATTGCGGCAATCTGATATTAACAAACAAATGGTGCCTTATTTGCTGGGATGTCATTTCTTAACATAAACATCTGCTAACTAGTTCTCAACTAACATTACAAGTTTCCACCATTTTGCCAATAGCAAGCACAGACACTAACATTCCATAGAGGCTCCACGTAAGGCTTCTGTTGGCATGGGAACGTGGACAGGGCGGTGCTCCGGTCTCATCCGGCTCTGTGGTGGTGGGAGTTGTGTTTGGATTGGGTCCAGCAGCGCTTGGCTTTACAGCTGTTGTCGGGGGAGGTGGACCGTTGCAGTAATCCTCATTACAGACCTGTGTAGTGCAATTGGTAAGATCTTTCCTCACGTCACAATAGGTAGCCCATAAACAATCCTTTAAGTACTGGAAACCATGGTCATCATACGTTAGTATAGCACACCTCAGTCTATCGTCACATGTTGTAACATTTTGGCTCGCTGAACATTCTTCTGCAGAAGTTGCTTTGCACGTGTAGCATTTCAGCGAGTGTACTGTCGACAGAGGAGAGTAAGGAATTAAGAATGAACAGAACCAAAGCCTGAATAAAATTCTCGACGTTTACGAAAAGTCAGAACTGACCGGTCGGACAGGTAATGTTGAAAATAGAAAAGATTATTTTTCACGAGATATTGCTGAAAAAACTATCACTTCCATGCAGACTATCTAGAAATAGACTATCCGGGTCTAGTTGGTCAGTCCTGATTAAAAGTGAATTTCTCATTACAACTGGACCGGATTCTGACTTATGGTAACCGCCCTAAAATAGACCCTTCTACGGTTTTAAACTTTGATATGGACAAGTTAGGGAAACATCCGTGGACATCACTGGAAAGGGCGCCTTTAACTAGTAAAACTGCCAAGTTTGAAAGTGATTTGTTAAAAACTAACGAGGATATAGCTTCTCAAAGACGCGAAATTTTACAAACACTTGTGTATGGTGGGGGGCAAAAAACTTGCCCCTCACCATGCAAACGTCTGTACATTTCCACAACTTTGCGAAGCTATATCTTGCGAGTTGTTGGCCAACAAGGTTGCGTCCGTTTGCCCCGTTAGCCGTCTGAATACCACTACTTTGGAGCACGTGCCCCGACCCTGACGATGAGCTTTTTCCACTACCCTTTCTTAACTAATGATTTGCAGCTCAGTCTTATCGTATCAGGTAGACCAGTGTCCACCGCTTATTGGTCAAAGATGGTTGTTGCCGGGGGACCCTAGATCAACGTTTACTAAAACGTTACGAATGCCCAAGAAGCAGGTGTAAAGCAGCAATCTCTTTAACCAACAATGTTAATATAAATTTAGAGAAGGAAGGATTGAGTAATAAGGGGAAAGTGTAAATGGGGTTAAGCATGCGAGTCCGCTCTCCATTTATTCCGCAATCGCGATTTCCCCAGTTGAAGAGCATGCTCGTAGGCTAAACTGGGGTAAGAAGGGTGTGCACGGACAGCCAAGGAAGTCGAACACTTCCCTCCACCCGAGATCCGCTCCCAAAAAGTAATGTTAGCGGGCGCTTCAATACGGCCTTTGACTATAATGCGACCAGACGGAGCAACCTGTTCACTTTCGAAACTAAATCGTTATGACTGTAGACAACTGAGCGACGATCCATTTTGTTAGAATAGGACTACGCACGCGTTGGAGTAGGCGAAGCCACAATCTACGGCTTGCTCTAAGCATCATGAAATATGATCCTTGGAGAAAGGAAACGTATCATGTCCAGTAGCCGGTTTGCAGAAAATGTGAACCTTCTTTGTCAAATTGTTTAAACTTTTTCCGTCAATCGATCATGAACGTGACCAGAGAATCCAAAGGACAATTTCAAAATATAATAACATGTAGAAACCCGCAAGAATCATATATTTTTATCTTAATGAACATCTGAACTGGAGACACCCATACCAGGCAAAATCATTCAAATACCTCTTATCCATAGAAAATAATATGATCTACTGCATGAATTTTGGCGAAAACACAAGTAGTTTCCGTACCGCGATGGGTCAGGCAAAGGTTGCAACGTCAGACTTTCAGGGGCACCCAACGACACTTTTCGGAAGAATATCTGTTCGGAAGACGATTTGAGATCTAGAATTTTCGAAACATTTGTTGTAAAATTTCTTGCTTGCCTGCCTCTCCTAGGATTTTCGAACATCTAAAAAATGGTATAATTGCCTATTTTTAACGGATTTTTACCCTAAAAAGGTCACCTAGAATTTTCGGGAGCCTTTCTTCTGGCTGAAATTTTCGAAAAGGTAAGTTTTGATCCCTATAGTTTTCGCATAACTGGACTTTCAGCTAGGAAATCCGAACAGATGAAAAATTTTTAGGGGATAAAAATATGCCTATATCTACCGTTTAAATACTAAAATACGTTTAACAATGCTATGTTTAAGTGGTTTTAAACTATATTCTCGTTGGGTGCCCCTTGACTTTGAATATTCTTAGTTGTAAACACGCTTAAGCGTGTAGAAACGAATCCCACAAACAAATCACCTATTTCAGACCGAATTCATGACAGAAATGGTTCTTCTAGAAAGCATACACGGTAGTTAAGCCAAAATACAAGAGTACAGTAACTTCGGATATGTGGAATACCCTATTCCACGGTATAAAAACCGAATGACTTGGTAATCGGTATTTACAGGAAACCAAACACGCCTAGCAATGACGACACCCTGTAATATGACCGCATATACCCACGCAGGCTCGATTACCGCCAGCACGCGCCTTCCCCGAACAGGAACGAGAGAGCGGCGGAAATCAAGCCCAAATTTCTCCGTTCTAGAAGAGGAACGTTCAAATTCGAAGTAGCATTCACAGCTCTATTCAAAATGATATATCAAATTTTAAAGCCATCATTTGCATACCTTGAATCATTTGTATCAAAGGACCATTAAGTTGTTATAGTTACAAGACGTTTATGCGGCCCGATTTTTACCCACTTTTGCGTACCCGAAATGCATCTTACTGATCTTACTCATAGAGAATCCTTGGGTGGCCGGGGGTCCGGGGGGTGCTCCCTGAAAATACTCTGCCCGAAAGAGGTTCCTTTATCGCCCTAGAGGAGCACAAAAGGGTAGGGTTTTTACGAATTAAAGCGAAGAAAACAGAGAGAGAAAAGCTAACGTATGAGCCAAAATGCATGAAGCATGAAGCAGGGGTACAATTGTTTGTTGAGGATATGCACAAATTTAATCTAAGACTAGGGGTTTGGGTCAGCAGATCCCCTCTTAGTACAAAACAACGCGTCCCCCTCTCTCAGAGGAGTGGTGGCTCAGTCAAAGTGCACACTTCCACATGTAGCCAAACAAGGTCTGTCCCCCATCTACAGCAGAAATTTAATCCTTTGTTTGTTTTAAAACCAGCTATCTTCATTCTTTCCTGTTCACGCTCATCTCAAACAAAAGAAGCATTTTTTCAACACTAAAATACACTAAATCCCGTTGTGAGTTAATAAGGATTAGTTTGCTTATGTCTAAGTTGCTTAAATTTAGAAGTGTAGAAGTCATATTTTTAACAGTAAAACTAGCCTGTTCAAGGAGTTCAACCATTGGTGACCGAGACGATAAAGAACTGGGGCCCAACTGGAGAGTCTGTAGCGAGCGTTTACGAGCTCATTTTAACATAAGATCAGCGATCGAGCGCCGGGAAAACTGAGATAACAACTAGCCGGAGTTTCTACTCGACATCAAGAACATTCAATATTTCCCTTGAACCATATTCCACAACGGCGAAATATGATTAATAATGAAAGCATTTGCCACACATTTTGACCTTTGTATTCCTTATATTGGTACTAAATTTCGCGGTTTTGGCGAGAAAGTATTTCGTGGTGTTTTATTTCCGCAATTTTAACATGCAAATAGAAAGAAAGGGCATTAAATTTCGCGATTTAAGCGTTCTCAACTTCATTTTAGTTTTTAAAGTCTGAACCCTTAATGAACAAGAAATGTGTGAAATCTTTGCAAACTAACGTGAAGTATTTCTCAACTGAAGATACAAAATGGAACTCCAGTTAAACCAGTTAGCTATTTGTGTTTGTCCATACATATCCACTGTCTCGTGATTTTCTAGATGGGCATTAAATTTCGCGATTTTTTCACAATTGTGAAAAACACGAAATTAAAGACCAGCGAAATTAAGTATCAATAAAGTAGCCAGAGAAAACGACCCCTGTGTCAGACGGCAGCTGTCTTCGGTGGGGGTAAACGAAGGACGCCATCAGACATTGGACTCAATCGCTCGCATGGTAATTATCTCGAGGTCAAAACAGGAAGTTACTCCGACTTGTTCATGACTTCAAAAATTCTCTTGTTTCCGTACAGGGAAGAGGACTTGCACGCAAGCTAGCCCTTCTGTACTTAAATGACAGGCAGAAAAACGTTTTCACTGGTAAAAATGCAGTGAAAATGATGTATGGTTGGCATGCACATCATTTTATGGACTCGCTGGTGGAATAAAGCCAGTGCAGATTGGATAAGACTTGCTGACCCCGTCTGTGACAAGGTCAAGTCAAAAATCCATACACTTATAGGAAGTATACCCCTGCTGAAAATAGTTTTCTTTGACGATGTAATTGTCCTGATATGATTTGATTTAATATTGAAAATCCAAAAAAGACTGAGAAGCTTAAAATTTCTAGTAAACAATTTCACACTCCACCAGCGGGATTTACAATTACATATACCGAAACTGTACTTTCCTTTCTCGAGTAAAAACAGACCCCCGCATACCCTTCCCCCCCCTGGAAGAAGCGACACGTCTCCTCTTCGGTCAAGTTCTTATGAAACAGTAAACTTGAAGATGAGTTTCTTGTTTCGTCCCCTCAGCTCGACGGCAGGAAAATCGTAAAATTGAACATTTTACCCCAGTTATACCAACGGGAGGGTCGCTTTCTCTTTTCCAATCGAAATTACCCATACAATGATTTTGAGATCTCGTACCCGTTGATCCTGTCAAATTATCTCGGTGGAGACTGCTTCATTGTGAAAATTATCGGTTTGGTATTGGAGATTGTTGAGACAGAATCAGTTTTACGCGGGAGGCGTTTTTACTTGTTCACTTGAATTTGCCGGCATGTGTCAACGTGCGTAAATAATAAATCCTAATATCAACACAAATATATAAAAGTTCCTCGTTCGAAGTTCACCCGGGACTGCAATCATCTCCTTATAATTTTCGCAATATCGGGGACAAAATTATGTAGAGACTCTCGCAAAAGTTAAATCAGTCGAATCAATCAAAGCTAGACTTAAGTGCATGAAGCGAATTTGAACTCACCACAACAGAAGAACAGAAGGAATATGGATCCAGTCAAGAACACAATGCGCAAATCATTTGCCATCTTCCAAAATAGACCGTCAACTTGTACAAGTTACGGAATTCAAAGCTAAACTGGGCAGACAGAGCTTTGATTTCAGGCGCTGATAGTGGGTTTTGACAGCGAAGTTAAGGTATCAAACGTTGGATTCTTTTGTCGTTATTTACCAGCCGAAAAACGTGCATAAACTGTTTCCACACGTCCGGAGTGTGCTCTATATGCACCGCACCTATTATGACGTCATCACGCTTAGGGCCAAGTAGAAGTGACACGTTTTGTTTGGAATTTTGATGATCTATCATCTTTCATCCGGGCGATGGGTTTCAGGAATTTTTAGCAGATGATAATTTTCCCGATTAGGTATTTATTGATATTTGCAGTGGATCAACAAAGGAAAGTTAATTATCAGCTAGATTAGCTGTCTCTTTAATAAACATAGAAATATAGATAATGGCGGCTACGTAACTTCCTCCGGCTACATGCTACATCAAAATGCCCGCATTTCAGGTACGTAGCCTTTTCCCCGGCTAAATTGTAAGTGACAAAAAACCAAAAAAAAAAAAAACAAACAAACAAACAAAAGAAACAAACAAAAAAAAAAACAGAACAAAACAAAAAGCAATTAATATTACCCAAAGGAACGCGGAAACATTTAACATTTAACGCCAAGTAGCCCTCAGCACTGCAAATAAATGCACTGAAACGAAAAATAGTCATCAAAGCCGGCGACGTATTTTTTAAAGGCATTCTTTCAACTGAAATGAAAACAAATGTTAAGGCCGAGACTTCCCATTTCCTAAAACCAAATTAAAGGATAACGCACGCCACTGAAGGAGTACTCGCAAGCGCTACACAAGGCCGCCGATGATGACACGTTATCATAAACGAAATATTGAAAACGGAAGTGGAAGCTGTCGATTCGCCCTGCCCCGATAACCTGTTTCAGCTGATCTCGAGGAAGTAGAATGCATAACAGTGTTTCTTTTTCTTATTTTTTTCTCCTCAAAAATCGGGTTGCAAGGCGGGAACGAAACGATGGCGAAAGAGATGCACGCGAAAATAATTATGAGAGATGGTTCTGGGCAGTTTAGTTTGTCGTATGAAATATATGTTAACCCGGTTTCTTCCTCTTCCTTATTTACGCGGGTAAATAAAAAAGAGGGAATGTATGGAAGGTGCGCGCACACGTAAAATTGACCTCGCTCAATTTTTACTTTTACGCGTGGACTTCTGTTTTCTTTACGCATGTAAAATTAACGCGACGTTGGAAATCCATTTTAAATGAGGGTCCCTTATTATCTATGATTGGCAGTGACTGTTTTGCAGGCCGTTTCGCAGAAAAAGAAAAGTGCTGCAGTTCGAAACCGATCCAGAAGCCTGTCAACTGTCTTTTTTCAGATTGTAAACACTCTCAGAGTTCGGCGACCTAGCGCTCGATTAGTAGCCTGCGTAGCTGGCTGAATTGTTACTGTGCGCAAGAGTTTTAGCAGAAGCTAGCAGAGAATCCGCCATTGTCTGCGGATCGATTCTCCGCAAGGCCACCGATGCTCCTCTGCCAAAACTTTGCTCGCGCTAACGATCTCGCGGGCTACGTACGTAGGCTAATTAATTTAATAAGCATGCACTCAGTTGCGAAACTGGGGTCGAAAGACAAATAAACATTGTACAGTACTCGTGGTCTTAAACTTAATTAAAAGAGATCTATTTTTCTTTGCAGAGATCAAGTAAGGAAATAAAGCAGAGATCTTCGTTTTTAAAAAAGTTTTGTTTGTAAAAAAGGGGATAAATTGTTCATGAAAGAATGGAGACCCACTGACCTCTCCGCTTCTCGCGATCGATTCTCAAATCAACTGGTGTGCTTGCTCGCAAGTTGTAGCCTGTAGGCTCTTTTCTTTGTTAAAATAAAAAAATGGACACATATTTACCATTTTTATCATCGCAAAATCCTAAAGTCGCTGAAACTTCTCTCGCTACATTTCATTCATGTGGGCCCAAGACCGTGAGTCCAACATATGACATTGAGGCAGGATTGGTGTGGATGTGTGATGCAAACTAAGAAAAACTGCTAAATTTTCATTGAAGAACCAAGGCTCCAAACGAAGAGTCTCTCAGAAGATTCGCGCTTCGAATTTCATTTCCAAAATTCGCTAATCCACAGGTTGACACGATACAATGATTCTCATTTCGGTCAGTGCCATTTCAAGGAGCTAAAATTTTTAAACGCACGTTGGAGTTTCATGCCCCTGGGGGGAAACTCCGGATAAGTGCTTTTTACGAACTTCACTGACTTGAACTGAGCGGGTTTAACAGAAGGGGATCTATGTTGTTAAGTAGTACCCCTTACGAAATGAGACACTATCTTTTTTCTATCTTAAAGCTAGTTAATGAAACTATCAACAAGCTATCTTGTTTCTAGTTTATTCCTATCTTCATGCCCTGTGTGCCACTAATAACTAATTACTATCTTAAGCCTATCTTAATAATAACTAATTTCTAGTTATTTGGAACCATGCAGATAGGCTATCTAAATACTATCTTAAAAAGGAAATTTTTGCATCGCTGCAATAGTTAGCTTTTGGATACACATAAGATAGAGTAAAACTAGCTTTTTATCGGCTAAGAAGCTAGTTTTCGGATACGTTTTTGCCAATAATGACATCATTGACATAGTTAGAAACTAGTCATTAGATAGAAGTTAACTAGCAATTTACATGTATTAATGGCACGATAGATAGCAATAAACTAGACATAAACTAGTTGAACGATAGTGTTCGGATAGCTTTAAACTAGATGTCTGGTAGCTAAAAGCTAGTGTTTGGATAGCTTTAAAGCAGATGTCTGATAACTAAAAACTAGTCTTTGTATAGCAATAAACTAGATGTATGATATCTAAAAACTAGTGTTTGGATAGCAATAAAATAGATGTCTAATAACTAAAAACTAGTGTTTGGATAGCAATAAACTAGATGTATGATATCTAAAAACTAGTGTTTGGATAGCAATAAAATAGATGTCCAATAACTAAAAACTAGTGTTTGGATAGCAATAAACTACATGTCTGGTAGTTATTGGATAGCATTTAACTTAGTTTTTTGATTAGCTAGAGTGGTTGCACGGATAAGAATTAGATAGACGCGGCGTAATAAGTTGATCAATCTTAGTGACATGCCATAGTTTTAACTTAAACCTTTTAAAAATATAATAAACAGTACATTTTTAAACACGATAATGCAAGTCATATTATATTGAAGTATACTTGACTGTTGCCTGTAGCCTATAGCAAAGGATTCCATTTTCATTAATAATGATTTATTAGTTCCATCACAACGCTGTTCAAAGTTCACATCAAATTTGATACAACTTTAGTATTTATAATAATTTATATAAGAACTCAGCTGCATGTCTGCGCAACTTCCTAATTTATCCACGACACCTTCTTTACATTGGAAAGCTTTGATCCACTTGCCTTTCCCTTTTGCTCTGCAAAGAAGACATAAATATTAAAGGTCAACAATTTGCCAATTATAAGAATAAAGTTATTCCATTAAAGAGTTCTTTATGGTATTAATTGTTTTTTAAATTTATCGGCCACTACTTGAATATCGCGGATCTATTCAAGAGGAGCCATAAACCTGATGTGCCCTTAGACTGGTTTCTCTTTACATGTGTAATACAGAAGAACAATTATAGCTAGCCATGAAAGAAAATAAATTTAACCGTCTAAAACCAAACACAAACAACTTTTACTTAATTGTTTACAGTAAGACAATTCCGTGCTTCCAAATATTTGTTTATCTTATCTTAGCGGAAAAGGCGGCGCATTCCAGTAGCACCGGCCAAGACTTTTAGAAAAAACCACAAGTTAAGCTCCGGAAACTTGAGGGTCACGTCACATCAATGGTTTTTTCATTCAAAAAAGTAAAGAAACAGTAAAGTAAGGAATTATAAAATACGCTTATAAAAAAATTTATCAGTCACTGAATGGAACAATAACCACCAAGCTTATGTAACTTAACCCTTTTTTTCGATCATCATCAGCCAAAAAACCTCTTGATAATAACTGACAAACGGTCTGTGACAATCTTCTTAAAAAAATCCTACTTAATATCATTCACGGATAGTTGCGCTAAAGAATACGTTTCCCATAGGACTTTCAAAAGTGAACAAACTATAACTGGCATTCTTAGCGCTGACAAACTTGATCAGGAGTTAAACTATAAGGTCAGTGTGCTGTTTGACTTGGCTCCCAGTTGTACTGAATGTCACACTAAACGTTGGTACCGCTTCTTCAAGAAAAATTTAAAACGAACAAGAACCCATGCATGCACACATTACGACTAAAGCAATAGAAGGTGAATTATACACAAACCTTAAAGAAATGAGTAAATCCTTTCAGTTTGATATCCTCTATCCACGATGATTAGACCTTCGTTCAACCGACCCACGACTTCAACGGTTACTTCGGCCGAAGATCGAATGAAAGGCGATTGTGTTTTCGCGCGATTTTTTAATTGACCGAAGACCCGGATGAAAGGCAGTCAACGGTATTTCCGTGGTCACGTACCGCACCAGAGAGTCAACTACTGCTTGTTTGCGCTCATCACGCTTAAAGATATCAGTTATGAATCCAAAAAGTAACAAAATGGCTGAGAAAAAGGAAAAGTTCGGTTATGAAGGACAGTGCAAGCGGAGAAAAAAATTCCGAAAAGGTATATGATATCGTGGAGTTAAAGAGATTTCGCATTCGTGTCATCGATTCGACGTAGACTGAGGAATGCTGGCGAACTCGATCCTCAGGCATCCTCTTCTTGTACTGGAATATTTCCATTTTCAGCCTAAAGAAAGCGGTTCACCTTCATCATCTGCGATCACAAAAGGGAGATTCAGGTATTTTGAAAAAACAGGCCTTCTTAAAATGAGTCAGACGCGATTGATCAAGATTGATATTGCAGTAACAGTATTATCGTGTCGTGTGGAAGGTAATCGAGCTTGGCACGATATAATTAATTATTACAGTCCTCCAACACACAACTGAGCACAACGCTTTTTAAAGAAAAATTTTCGCAAATGGCTGTTCAATATTACAAGGTACTGTTGGTACGCATGTAGGAAACTGAAACGAAAAAAGAAATAATCAAAGCAAGCCTTCATCGAGAAATTGTGGTGTGGATGATGTGATTCTCTGTGACTTTAGAATTAAATGGTTTTGTGAAGCACTAATATATAAAAGCATCTCAGTCTTACATTAAGTTTAAAATACAGTGCAAGTCTTGATTAATCGAGCTTTCTGTGTATAAAATAAGTGAGCATTGCCAGCTAGCTGACTAATCGTGACAAATTATTATTGATAGAATTTACAATAATTTGCTATAGAAATGGTCGGCTTAATAAGGATACCCTATGTTATTACAGTACTATTTGCCGACTTTGAGAAGTGCCATATTATAGTTAATATTGGTAGGTTTGAGCCGATCTTTTCACTACCTATGTTCAAGATAGTTTTAAGATAGG